ACCTTGCATGTAGAGGTACAGGTGGCAACGCTAGCCTTTGTGCTACCAGCAAATCAACGTGCTATGTCACAGTGTTTCTGCTAATGAGCGGTTGGTAGCCTATCAAAGTGGCTATAGGTAGGTAAGTGCAAAATTAAACATGAATAGTTCACGTCTAAAGTCAATTTAAATGATCCAATATGAACTTGCTAATTGTTAAATACTGCATGCATTCTTACGAAACATCCTTATTATTATTGTGTTAGTATTCTTTTCGAATCTCGGGCTTATTATTATTATAATATACTGGGCAAAGTCCACCCCTTCCTCGGGTGTTTGCACAAGACAGAGAACCACAAAAATACCTACGTTCAAGCCAAAACAATTCTAAAAACAGCTTCAAGCCCAGCCGCGGTAAAAAACCGGGCATCTTAAGAATTCAGCACACGGATCGTATTTGCAAAACTATAAATTCTAGGCCTATTAGCATTACATCAATGTTTGGTTACCCAACGGCTTATTCCAGGAACCTTCCACCAAGGAATCCGGCGAAACGGCATTTGAATATTTGCTTGTAACTGTATCCAGTGAGGTATTCTGTAATGGCTGACTTGTTTAGAAAGACCAACGTGTACTTCGACTATACGCAATAGTATAGCCTTAGTAAAGTTCATTTAAAATCATAGTGTCATGACCAGCCGAAGCGGAAGGCCGTTACGCTGGTCGCTTAGTATCTAAGTACCATGTCAGAGGCCTGCTACTTACAGTAGGCTGTTGAAAAACTCTGACATCAGGGTTCATCAGGTCACGATTGACGACCGTATTTTCACAGGCGTTGACGCTCTTCCCCGTAATTAACGGTGTAATGTGTGCAAGTCATTTAGTTAGAAAATCCTACACAGTTAATATTTACGTACCCCAAAGGAAGGAGATATTTACTGTGATAAAAACATTTTTCTAAAACGGCCACAATTACAAAGAGTAATCGTTCCATCTAGCACGAAGCGCCAACACAGAATATCGCAACTATCGCTCAGCCGGCAGCACCCATTCTGCAGATTTATGCGCCGTATCGCCATCGTCATCACTTTGATTGCTGATTGCATTGCTGCCCCGGCACTTAGCTACAACAATGACCATCAGACTAAACCCGCAATGCACGCCGCAGCGCCTCCGGTCAAGAGAATTGCTAAGATTTATTAGCGCTTTCTCGACTGTTATGAATACACTGCCCGCTTTATAAGGGACTTAATGACTCCCTTATTACCTACATTTGTCATACCTAGTAACCTAAATATTCGTTCGTTACTATCGCGAATTCCCGACGGAATTACCTAAAAATGGGTGTAAATACGAAGGTAATAAAGTAAGTTAGCCCTTTCTTTTCCATGTAAACTTCATTAAGATGTAATCTGAGCCCTAAAACGTGAAGTAAACACCTAATGTAGACGTGATAGGATCGCAGGGCGCCTCGTAAATCGCGGGAACGCCTGTTTATCGCGAGCGCGGCGCGGTATCGCACGATTCAGTAAGAACGCGATATGTGAGAGCGATTGGGTTCGGTGAGAGTGATACATTATGACTGCCTAACTGACTACTGGCTAACTGTCGTACTATCATGGTCTAGTTTTACAAGCTTTACAAGAATTCTATAAAATTCGGTTTTTCTGTTTGAGTATGGTTTGAGGGCGGAACAGTGCATGTAATATGACATTGTGAAATTCAGTCAGCTGAAAGCCTGAAAAGTAGACTGAATTTCAAAATGTCATATTACTCAGACTAAGGCGAGGAACACACGCAACGTCGGTTTGTGCGTCGTTTGTTCGATTTTCCACCTTATTTTTATACGAATACGGTTTATGTCAAACGATTTGACAGACAACGCAGCGTTGAGCGATGCCGTTTGACACAAACCGTATTCATATGCAGGTAGGGTGGAAAATCGAATGAACGACGCACAAACCGACGTTGCGTGTGTTCCTCGCCCTGGAGAAATGCAGAAAATCGAAAGAATACCTATATGAAATTTCTAAGTTGAAATTAGATTATCATTTGCCCTTCAAGGATCCGATTATACAAATACAGAACGTTTTGAACTATTTCCGAAACTAACGTCGTACACTCTTCAAATCTCAGGAGACACCAACTTTGGCAAAGTCCAACGTTCCCAAATCAAGTCACATTACGACTCCGAATCAAGTGAATCTTGATTTGAACTTTCAAAATGTGTTTTGCTTTACATTACCGCGTAGCACCTACACGGTTAAAACTACGATCAACAAAAGCCGCAATGTATGCCTGATAATATTGAATTCGCAAGGTTCGTAGTAAGGGCCCGATCGGTCTAAAGTGTTTCTCCCATAAACAACCTGTTTCATTAGGGATTCCCTGTCCGTTTGCCAACAATAGGGCCCTTAAGGCCCAGAATCAAAGGGCCTCATTATGATTCCCTTGGTAATTTCCAACTAACTCACCGTTGAAGGGTTCGTGGAGGATAATGGCGGCTGAAATTTATGTGATTGATGCAACGTTTGGATTTTTAATAGGCGAACATAAAACTAGCTATATTTATACTACGTTCTGCTTTGATAATTGGTTAAACCTACAAACTAGGGGCCCGTTAACCGCTGCAACTCGTTTTCCCGCGGGAATAAAGCATTTTACCGAGATGTTTTACACATATAAACCATCCTCTTGAAACACTATCTATTAGGTACAAAAAACCGCACAAAAATCCGTTGCGTGCTTTAGGAGGAGTTAGCGAATTCCGTGACAGGCAGACAGACAACCGGTAATTAAATAGCAAATTCATTAAATACTACCTATGTATTGATATTGATATCTGCCTACGCTACAACTTTCTAGCTACAAACAACAACCAAATAAATAGAATAAAAAAAATATATATTACTTACATTACGTTTCGAAAACGCTTGGTATTTCTTCAAATGGAAGATAAATACTGGGGCTTTTGTCATGGAACATACCTACCATACCAACTAGAAATAGCTGGTTGTGTGATCATTTCATCAAACACACGAATTGTATTTTCCTGTTGAAATAATCTTTGGAAGAACCCATTTCTTTGACGACTAGGCCTTCTTATTTATATGAATTGAACCGTCTTTATGCTGTACACAGCTTGCATCTCTGCCGCAACGCAAGATTGTTGTCAATCAAAAGACGCAATGAATATTTAAGTAAGTGAAAGGGTGAATGTAGAATAATATAATGGACTAAATTGTTGCATAAAACATGCTGGAATGGAAAGCTTTCAGGGCGTCTTATTACCACGTTATGGGTAATGAAATGAATTTTCCACTTACGTTTCCATATATTACGGCTCTGATAATTTCGCTTCTTTTTGATGGTCTGAAACGTTTCGGAGTGCTTCTTCAAAAGACTGAATGGAGAAAAAAATGTATCGTATATTTACCGATTTGTCTACTCTTTCTTCCACATCATCAGATAAAAGATACCTATCTACAGCATCTATGTTTTAATAGTCTAATAACGTGCATGGAACTTTTCCGAAAATAATTTCACTCATTAAAAACGAATAGTAGTTTAATAGTTCGGAACTAAGCCACATCCCATTCTACGCTTCTACTACTTTTTAATTTAATTCCCCCACTAATCCCCCCCTTTTCTACTGTTGGAAGGGGGGGAGGGGTTCCACTAAGCTGTCTACAGACGCGCTAAGCCGCATGAATTGCTTCCACTAGTTTGTGGAAAACAAGTAAAAAGTGGATTTTTAACTTGCTTGTGGGATTCGGTGGTTTGCAATCATTGCCTGAATAGATTTCGGTTCACCGCACTGAGGTAAATGATTTATTTTACAGAAAATATAGTGAATACTTGTGATTGTCGGCGCTTGGTGAAATTTTACAGAAAAGGAACGGAAAAGAAAACTGTAATGCTAATTGATGCAGGATTTTTAATATAGTCGTATTAGTTAATGACATTTGTACCTAATTTGTGCACATAGGAACTTGATCATTCCATTCATTGTAACATTTTAAAGATAAAATCTTAACCATTCTCTTGTTTGTCCAAATTGGCTACCGTATCAAACAATCATCTAAGTATGTCAGGAGTTCTGTCACCGCTGTTTCCCATGGATATGCATCTCAAGTGAATGCAGTATTATGACGTGTGGTGATAAGGATAAGTAGATGTCATTGCATGCATAACGTTAATAAATGGGGTAGCATTATTTTTATGTTTGATGTTTTGTATGATTATTACTATGTTTTGTTTATTATTTGTGTTCAGACCAGAATTTCATAACACATTGCAGGGAAAAGAGAATCAATAGGCAGAAGGACGAACAATATCGTCAACATACAGTCATACAGGCAATTTTTAAAAGTACACAAAATTGCCAACAAAAGTATAACATCCATGATTATAAAATTCAATTCTATTCTAATTAAGCCTATTGCAGTCCACTGCTGAACGTAGGCCTTCCCCAGGTTACTAGTTATTATTCTGTGCCCCAGGGAACGCTATAAGGCACGATCTCCCGTTTTTGCCATCCAGTCGCTACCAGCTGCCTTTTTTAAGTCATCGGTCCATCTAGCCGGAGGGCGTCCAACGCTTCGCTTGCCGAGGCGTGGCCTCCACTCGAAAACCCGCTTACTCCACCGTCCATCGGTTCTACTACATAAGCTTACGAAAGCTTTTGAGATAGAATCACAAACCGGCCATTAGATTAATTCAATACATAAGCGCACAGGCATTAACATGTTCGGCTTGTCATTACATTACACCTGCCTTACACCGATTGCTGCTGCATTACTAATGTAAGCACCTACTACAAACACAGTTACGTTCAAACGTTATACATTACTTCCTTTTTAACTAAACAATCCTTGAGTATAAAAGTACGATTGGTGCTTTTCCAACCCGGGAAAATGTTCAATGACCCTACTACAAACTCACCTGAACTGACCTCCCTGTCACATAATGATTGCAAATCAGTCAGTCAAATTAAAAAGAAGATAATTAATAAATTCATCAGTGACCGCCTGGACTTGAACCTGGGACCGTGAGGAACCGTCACACTGCTCTAGCAGCTGAGCTACGGGCGCCTGGTTGACCCTGACAATTTTTTAATCTCTTGATGCTCGTCTGGAAGCTACAATCCATCGCAATACATCAGTCAGTCAGTTTTATTGGGGGTCAATTAACATTTGCCTGAGTTTAAAATGCACACATGTACAATTTCCCCTCTGATTTGGCGGACGTAAGCCACTCTTGGTGAAACCAATACACCTGGCATTGGTTTCTGATACATTGTTATTGAAAAAACAAGGGTTTTTGCACGTAAACTACAAATCTACGACTTCTATTCGACCAGCAATGTATTCGTATGTCACCATGCTACCAGCAAATCTGTAGTGAGTAATAGAAGCCGTTACTCCAGCGGAATGGCTGAGGCGACAGCGATGTCTCAGGACACACAGTATGCATACAAGATGCGCTAGATGGCGCTGCGTAGCGTATTGGCGCTTAAGTGCATATGCAGGCCTAATGCTGGATTTGGAGCTTAGTGCGATGTGGCGTTGGTAGTAAATAATATGTCAAGTCAATCCCTGTGATGCTGTATGAACATATCTTCCCAACTCACCAGTCACCATACTTGATAAGCGCGTTAGTTTCTTATAGATTATAATATTGCTTTTGTTTCAACAAGGGTTTTGTACGTACATAAAACTGCAAAACTATGACTTCTCAACCAGCAATGTATCCTTATGTCACTATGTTACTAGCAAATCTGTAGTGAGTAATAGGGGCCGTTACTCCAGCGGAATGGCTGGGGCGACAGCGATGTCTCAGGACACACAGTATGCATACAAGATGCGCTAGATGGCGCTGCGTAGCGTATTGGCGCTTAAGTGCATATGCATAGGTCAGGCCTAATGCTGAAATTGGAGCTTAGTGCGATAGATATGGCATAGGTAGTAAATCTACCTATACCTTTACGAGCAAAAATGTATAAAATCGGGATCTCAGCCACAACGTATTTCGCGCAATTTCAAATGTAGGTGGTTTCAAGGGCGATAAATCTATCAAGATAGGTTTAATTTTCCAAAAAGTCGTTGCTTCATATCCGTTTTTAGAGAGAGGTTTTTAAATTATCAATGCCATCTATTAAACAAACAAACAAGCTCTGTTTACCAGCTGGTTCAAAAATCCAGAAAATAAAAGCTAATGCATTTCCTGTGGATATATGAGTTTGCTCTCGCTAAACCCCCTGATAACGGCAACCCTATTCCTAAAGGCGATAGAACCGTTTTCAGCACAGTAGACTGTTGTGGCTTTTGAAGAAGTCGTCTACATATCTTCTGAGTTCTAACTTCTAGCAGCATCGAACATACTTACAAACAAACACAAACAAATCAAAAAGGTAAACATCTAAATACAAGTAAAAAGGAGTAGTTTCCTGCTAAGTCTGTTAACAGTAGTAGTAGTGACTCGCACTGTAGTTAACAACTATCAGTTTAAATCTTCATCTGGAGACTTAGCGTTTGCTGTAGCTAAGCTAATAGAGTCGCTACGACAAGCATTGTTGACAACAAGGATATGAGAAATGACAGATATGTTACTAGCAATGGCTGTAGTGTAGTTACCAACTATCAGTTTAAATCTTCATTTCAAGAACTTAGCGTTTGCTGTAGCAAAACTAATAGAGTCGCTACGACAAGCATTGTTGTCCACAAGGAGATGAGAAATGACAGATATGTTAATAGCAATAGCTACAGTGTAGTTACCAACTATCACGTTAAATCTTCATCTCAAGAACTTAGCGTTTGCTGTAGCTAAGCTAATTGAGTCGCTAAGTCAAGCTTATTGACCACACGGAGCTGAGATATTACAGATATGTTACTAGCAATGAATGCAGTGTAGTTAACAACTATCAGTTTAAATCTTCATCTGGAGAACTTAGCGTTTGCTGTAGCTAAGCTAATAGAGTCGCTACGACAAGTATTGTTGTCCACAAGGATATTAGGAATGACAGATATGTGAGGATTTTTATTTAAGTTGAGCACCTTCAGCTGACAATCATTTATATACCTTGCTTGGTGTCCCAACTCATAATTCACATCCCGAACGTAGATCCATCCATAATTAGGGTCCGGTTTGCTCATCCAATCCCCATTCAGTGAAAAAACACATCGATTATAATTTTTAGAATGCAAAATTGCGGACAATTGCATACCAAGACTGACGCTGCTTTAAATCAGGTCATATTTTGCTGAAATTTTACAAAAACTGGTTATAATAATATCGAAGACTGAGTGCACATCTAGTATCTCTCTGTTTACCCTTTCTTTAGTAATGTCAATGTAACATTTGTTAACATTCACAACATGTCTCTACTATTTCTCTTATTTCTTGTTGTCCAGTTATTAGCCTCATCACCCTACTTCCAGCGGCTTAACGAGCTGCAGCTAAGCTAATTCTCGACTGGCTTGTGCAGCTTCTAAACAAACCTACAACTCTTAATGGCTCTGGAGAGCTACATAAGCAGGTTTACTGTAGGGATCTAGACCAAGGGACTTATTCTTTTATCCTTTGGAAATACCAATTTAGGACTTTGACTCACTAGTAGGTCTAAAAGTGAGTCAAATTACTCAATTGAACGTATCCTGTCTACTCATCTTTATATGTATTTCTTGGAATCAGTGACTCTCCTGCATCAAAATCATTCATAAATTGGATACAAGGCACACACTGGCAAGACTTTTTCCTGTTCGCATATCTAAATGTTCAAAACAAAGTAGCCAAGAGCCAAAGGGTTTTCATTCACCGCGCGACACCTCAATAACTGTCCCGAAAAACAATAACACGGGGCCATTATTTCTCACCGCTCACCCTGCTCACCCCAAACACAAAGTAAGTTGGTAACTGCCCAATACAGAGAGACGCCTTCAAGGAAACGTCACTACGCCTACACACAAATCTACACGTCGTCGTTTACGTACGATCTCGAACCGGTTCAACAGCGTTCTTCGGTGCGGGCGGACGGCAAAATTACGACTCGCTAGTCCAAAGGTTTTTTTGTATGGTGTGCTATAGTGTAAGTTTGATATACCTATCTATAATGTACCTAATTATGTTTCACGCAGGAACCGCATTTCAAAAATTCAGAAATAAAAGGTCGCCACCCTTGAGTGTAGGTATCAATGGTCAGGAACAGGGACGAGCTGCCCTTCTGTAAATTCACTAGTTTTTTCCCCAAACCGTCGCAGGCAATATTTCAGCGATGTTGCGGAATCAATAAAGACGGCAGCGGTGCGGCGGCGGGTCGGAAAGTGCAGTGGGAACTGCAGACTGGGAATTATATGCTAATGTCCTGGCGCGGCAAGATAGCGATGAAAAGCGTCCATTGCACACTCGGGCACGGTATTAGCCTGATGGTTTGTTTGGTACTGTATTAAGGTCTTTCGCGCCGAATATTTTTGTGATTTCCAGTTGCAGATAAGATCTCATAATTGAAGAAAAATATTGTGTGAATATTGTGTAAAAATTAGTGTGCATTGGCAACAGAATCAATAGTTGGTTTTCAGGATCCGGAGGTTTAGTTTGATTCCTAGAGAAGAGCGCTGATTCTGTGAAATTGTTGGTTTGACAACGTGAATTGGGAATTTAAATGCTTGTACCAGCTGCTGTCCATGTCTGCGGTTTGTACTTAGTAAGAAGATTATTTGATACAAGCATTTATCATTCTCAGGTCACTTGACGCCACGATACCACAAATACAAGATTTTTCAGTCCTGAGACTTTTGCGGCATTTTCGCACAGTATTAGTAAAATCTGTTAAGTACAATGGACACTCGTCTAAGCTGACTACTCAGCTGCAGACAGCGACTGCCGACAACAGCGCACATTTTCGCCGACTTAATTATTTATAGCCCAACACTTTGCTCCGCTGACTAAATGAAACGAATTCATTACTTAAGCCCTGCATATTTGCTGTGCTGCTACTTCGCCTTAATAGTTATGACAACGTCTAGCTGTCTGCTTGCTAGCGAAATAATCTTTTAAAAGCTAAGTGAGATTTTATAACTGCTATCTGTCTGGCAGTGGATTAACTCAGCAAAATTGTGATTTTCTTTTAGGTTTTTGTGCTAACTAAAAGTGTGACAAATTCTTCACTTTTAATAATCCATTTAGACTGTGAATTTTAACACTTTTTAACCCTCTTTTGAAGAGGCATTAGATATTACATGCAAAATGGTGAGACATAAAAAAATATTCAATAGGCTTTCAAAAGTCTAAAATAATGGTCGTACGTTGCCTTTATGGAGGTGCTCAAGTTGGGATTAAAAGTGATAAAATTTGATACGCTCATAAGCTCTATTTTATAGAGGTTATTACCCTTTTAACACTTTTCATGAAAGGCCATTTTAAGAATAAAATTAAGGTAAAAATTTGTCCGTTTGTGTTGCACTTTGCAATAAGAATATTTTTTTTAACTTGCAGTTACTTACAGGTAAGTCGACAAGATTCCCAAGGGTGTCTGCTAAGATGAATTAAGTACCTGCAAATAAAAAATACCAACATAAATAATGATTCATATATTTAAAATGTTTTCTCTATAATAATGTAACATGTATAGTGTTGTGACCTATTGCACAACATTTGGAACATCTGTCTCTTGACGGACAACTTTCGAGCATGTGTCTCGTGTTGACACAGCGCGTACATGTGAGTTGTAGTAATTGACTGATGGAGGCATCTGTCTTCGTTATTGGAACCAAGATGGCGGAGATCACAACGCGAACAGGTATTGAAGGAGGTTCAGCCAATGGTAATTGACTGATGGTGACTGATGCGTTTGTTTGCGAACGAGTTTATTAGTATTAATATACTAGTAATGGCAAAATATGAGGTATCATCTCAACTTTCTTAATATAATCATCCATCATAATCAAATCGCAACACGGAGAAACACAGCTTGATTTATTTTATTATGTGACAGCTGTCAAACCTCTTTCAATAAAACAGTCGCGGTATTTTGGATTAAAATCTTTGAATATGACTTCAATGGTTGGGTTTACTAGTTGTCATATCCATTTTTAGT